AATAGGAGAAAGATGAATAGGAAAAGAAGGAAAAGGAACTGGAATAAAAAAAGAAAAAGGAATAGGAATGGGAAAAAAAGGAATAAAAGGAAAGGAATAAGAAATAGAAAAGGGAAAAGGAATAAAATAGAATAAGACAGAAAAAGAAGGAAAAGGAATAATAGAATGAAAATGATTTGGAATAGGAAAAGAAAAATAGGAAAAGAAGGAAAAGGAAACTGGAATAGAAAGAGAAAGGAATAGAATGGGAGGAAAGGAATAAAAGGAAAGGAAAGAATAGAATCAAAATAAAGAAGAATGAAAAAGGAATAGAAGGAAAATGATTTGGAATAGGAGAAAGATGAATAGAAAAGAAGGAAAAGGAACTGGAATAGAAAGAGAAAGGAATAGGAATGGGAGGAAAAGGAAATAAAAGGAAAGGAAAGAATAGAATCAAAATAATATAAGACAGAATGAAAAGGAATAGAATGAAAATAATAGAATAATAGAAAAGAAGGAAAAGAAAAAAAGAAAGGAAAAGGAAAGGAAAGGGAAAGGAAAGAAAAGAAGAATAGAATAAAGAATAAAAGGAAAAAAATAGAATGAAAATGAGGAATAAAAAAAGGAAAAGAAGGAAAAGAAAAACAAAAAGGAAAAGGAATGGGAAAAAGGAAAAAGGAAAGAATAGAAAAAATAGAATAAGAAAAAGGAATAAATGAATAGGAATAAAAAGAAGAAAAAAGAAGGAAAAGGAAATGGAATAGAAAAAAAGGAATAAATGGAAGGAATAAAAGGAAAGGAATAAGACAGAAATAAAAAGGAATAAATAGAAAATGATTTGGAATAGGAAAAGAAGAAAAGAAAAAAAGAAGGAAAAAGAAAATAGAAAGAGAAAGGAATAGAATGGAAAAGGAAATAAAAGAAAAGGAATAAAAAAGAATCAGAATAGAATAAGACAAATGAAAAGGAATAGAATGAAATGAATTGGAAAGAAAGAAAAAAAAAGAAGGAAAGGAAAAGAAAAGAGAAAGGAATAGGAATGAAAAGGAAATAAAAGGAAAGGATTAAGAATAGAATTGCAATAGAATAAGACAGAATGAAAAGGAATAGAATGAAAAATGAAAATAGAAAAATGAAAAGAAAGAGAAAGAAAGAAAAGAATAGAAAGAGAAAGGAATAGGAATGGGAAAAAGGAATAAAAGGAAAAAGAAAGAAAAGAATAAGACAGAATGAAAAGGAATAGAATGAAAATGATTGGAATAGAAAAGATGAATAGGAAAAGAAGGAAAAGGAAATGGAAAGGAAAGAGAAAGGAATAGGAATAGAAAAGAAAAAAGAAAGGAACAAGAAGAATCAAAGAAGAAAAATGAAAAGGAATAGAAAGAAAATGAAATAGGAACAGAAAAAGAAAAGAAGGAAAAGGAAAAAGGAATAGAATGGAAAGGGTTAAAGGAACAGAAGAAAAAGAATAATGAATCAAAAAGAAAGAATAGGAAGAAAAAAGGGAAAAGGAAATGAGAAAGAAAAGGGTTAAAAAAAGGAAAAAAATAGGAATAGAAAGAAAAGGGTTAGGAACAGAAGGAAAAAGGAAGAAAAAAGAATAGGAATAGAAAGAAAAGGGTTAAAACAGAAAGGAAAAGGAAAAAAGAAAATAAATAGAATAGAAAGAAAAGGGAATAGGAACAGAAGCAAAAGGAAGAAAATGAATAGGAATAGAAAGAAAAGGGTTAGGGAACAGAAGAAAAGGAAGAAAATGAATAGGAATAGAAAAGAAAATAGGTTAGGAACAGAAGCAAAAGGAAGAAAATGAATAGGAATAGAAAGAAAAGGGAAAACAGAAGAGAAAAAAAAGAAAATGAATAGGAATAAAAGAAAAGGGTTAGGAACAGAAGAAAAAAAGAAAAAATGAATAGGAATAGAAAGAAAAGGGTTAGGAACAGAAGCAAAAGGAATAAAATAAATAGGAATAGAAAAATGAAAAGGTTTAGGAACAGAAGGTAAAAAGAAGAAAATGAAAGAAATAAAAGAAAAGGAATAGGAACAGAAAAAAGAAAAATGAATAGGAATATAATAGAATATAAAAAGGTTAAACAGAAAAAAGGAAGAAAAATAAATAGGAATAGAAAAGAAAGGAAATAGGAACAGAAGCAAAAAGAAAAAATAATAGGAATAGAAAGAAAAGGGTTAGAAAGAAGAAAAAGAAAATGAATAGGAATAGAAAGAAAAAGGGTTAGGAACAAAAAGGAAAAGGAAGAAAATGAATAGGAATAGAAAAAGAAAAAGGTTTAGAAAAAAGAAGGAAAAGGAAGAAAATGAATAGGAATAGAAAGAAAAAAAGGAGGAAACAGAAGCAAAAGGAAGAAATGAATAGGAATAGAAAATGAAAAGGAATAGGAAATAGAAAAAAAGGAAAGAAAATGAATAGGAATAGAAAGAAAAGGGTTAGGAACAGAAGCAAAAGGAAGAAAATGAATAGGAATAGAAAGAAAAGGGTTAGGAACAGAAGCAAAAATGGAAAGAAAATGAATAGAATAGAAAAGAAAAGGGTTAGGAACAGAAGCAAAAGGAAGAAAATGAATAGGAATAGAAAGAAAAGGGTTAGGAACAGAAGCAAAAGGAAGAAAATGAATAGGAATAGAAAGAAAAGGGTTAGGAACAGAAGCAAAAAGGAAGAAAATGAATAGGAATAGAAAGAAAAGGGTTAGGAACAGAAAAAAAGAAGAAAATGAATAGGAATAGAAAAAAGGGTTAAAGGGAAGAAAATAAATAGGAATAGAAAGAAAAGGGTTAGGAACAGAAGCAAAAGGAAGAAAATGAATAGGAATAGAAAGAAAAGGGTTAGGAACAGAAGCAAAAGGAAGAAAATGAATAGGAATAGAAAGAAAAGGGTTAGGAACAGAAGCAAAAGGAAGAAAATGAATAGGAATAGAAAGAAAAGGGTTAGGAACAGAAGCAAAAGGAAGAAAATGAATAGGAATAGAAAGAAAAGGGTTAGGAACAGAAGCAAAAGGAAGAAAATGAATAGAATAGAAAGAAAAGGGTTAAACAGAAGCAAAAGGAAGAAAATGAATAGAATAGAAAGAAAAGGGTTAGGAAAAGGAAAAGAAAAAAATGAATAGGAATAGAAAGAAAAGGGTTAGGAACAGAAGCAAAAGGAAGAAAATGAATAGGAATAGAAAGAAAAGGGTTAGGAACAGAAGCAAAAGGAAGAAAATAAATAGGAATAGAAAGAAAAGGGTTAGGAACAGAAGCAAAAGGAAGAAAATAAATAGGAATAGAAAGAAAAGGGTTAGGAACAGAAGCAAAGGAAGAAAATGAATAGGAATAGAAAGAAAAGGGTTAGGAACAGAAGGAAAGTGAATAGAAGCATAAGGAAAAAGTGACTGGAGTCGAGTTGACAGGTCAGGACCTATCACATTGCATATCCGTCTTTAGATCGTTTTCGAGACCTAAACATTAACAGAGGGGCAACGAAACTTTTATGGCAACACTATTCAATGCATGGACGAATTATAGTTTTCTAGATGTGAGAAGAACCTTCTGGTGTGGCACAGAGAACCAACTTTCCTTGCGGTAGATGCGGCTATTGATTCATTCTAGCTGTTCCACCTCGGGTCAGTGAAAGACGTGAGACTCAGAAGGCACAGAGAAGCGCTATCGTGAAGATGAGCATCAGCCGTGCTGAAAGAATGCAGAGAATTTTCTCTATCCAGCAAATGAAATTAGCGACGGAAAAACTCTTGAACACTTGTCATATATTCTTTATTAGAAAATCTTTTGAACGAAGTGTTTCAAACAGTAAGATAAACTGTTGGACACGGATTGACGATGACGTGAGGTCTCGAATTCTATAAAATTCTTTTTTATAACAAACACAATAAGGGAAATAATTTTAAATTCGAACTAAATATATTTTTCTTCTCAAATACCGCGGTAGATTGATGTTGGTTGGTGGTTCGTTTTTTACACTTTTTCATACCATTGCAGGTTATTTAAAACTGCAGATGTTTTTGGGTTTTTTGAGATAATAAATTCTTCGTAATAAATCTCTAACTAATTAACACATAGCTAGTCGAAGATGTGGTGGATTCTTAACTTTACCAAGGGTATTTGCACGTAAGTGAATACAAAAAACCCAACTAGAATTGAAATTCGGCTCTCCGACTTCCAACTCCGAGCCATTATCTATAACACCACGCTCACATTCAAGATTACAGCACACAGATGTTCCTTAACTTCGGTGATCCTATAGGAATTGCTGGTTGAACGTGATGAGGCCGTTAGCCAGAGATTTATAAGTTTCAGGTCATATAAAATAAGTTTTTGAATAGAGAATAACACATCTCTTATAAGAATTAATTTGTCTTCTAAATGACCGGTGTAGACTAAAAAATAAGTTCACCAACCATCAAAAACATTTTGGAGTAAATAGCATAATCTTTTAATTTTAGACCAGACAGAATAATAAAACCGGTATACAAAATTAAGCAATTCCCTTTGAATCTAATGACAAATGACTCTAATCTTATAAAATATATTTCAGCCTAGAGCGAATAATGAATCTGACATCAAAATTAATTAATGAACTTATTTAATTATCTTAAAATCTCCAGCAGTTAAATGATCAGTAAAGTTTCTAACCCGATAAAAGGAACCTAAGTCTGGATAGGTGTGATCTTAGGAAAGTTGGTTTCACTGTTTCATACTAAACAATTTCTATCTCCAGAATGTATTTTACATATTTATAAGTTTACCGTTCGTCCATGCTTTCAAAATTGCTACCACTTATGAAATGTACTTCTGCTATATATTAAGAAATTCTTGATAAAATGCAAGGAATAATCTGCAGTCCTGATCTGGCATCCGGGGCTTCAGACACTTTTTCCACGACGTAACGTCGCTTCCCTATGGTCTTTTCTATAAACACTTTTATGGTAATTGCCCTGAAGAAGAATTGGAACTCGGCTCTGAGAGTAAAAATTTCGCGTTATTATGCATTATGCCACACGCACATCCAAGTTAACAGCACCGGGTATTCCAAAGCAGTCACCGATCTAGTTACTGACCTGGCTCAACGTTGCTTAACTTCGATGACCGTATGGAAACCGGTGTTTCACCGTGATATGCCCGTAAGTCCTTATTTGTCTATGGGTCTGTTACTCTACCAAAGTGAAAAGTAGTCCAAGTAGTTCAAAAATAATAATTCAATTCATGTCGCGCTAGAAAAGTTTTCTTGCCTGAGTCTATCGTACATATTTATAAGTTTACCATTCGTCCTTGTTTTGAATATTGTTGTCACTTCAGTTCTGATACTCCTGTTATCTATTTAGAGATTCTTGATGAAATCAACAGAAAAATCTGCAATATATTTGGCCCTGATCTGGCATCTCGGCTTCAGTTTCTTTCCTAACGCCGTAACGTAGCTTCTTCGTACCTTTTCTATAAACACTCTCATGGTAATTGTTCTGATGAGCTTTCCTTTATTGTACCTACACTTTATGAATTGAAGCGCAGTAGTTGATTGGCAAGATGGTCTCATTAATTTACAGTTCAAATGTCTAGACGTAACGGTTTTTTTCCTTGCACCTCTCACTTTTGGAACTCTCTTCCTGCTTTTTGTTTCCCGGCAAAGTTTGGTCTTCAAAAAATTTAAATGCAATGTCAATATTTATCTTCTGTTTTCTTGATTCCTCTTGTTTTTTTGGTCTCCTTCCTTAATAATGTTTTTCTTTTTCTGGTTTTTCACAGTCACTTTTTGTCTTAGTGTCCTTAGATTTTATTTTCTTTTAATCATTTCACCCCAAGCAAAACGGTATTGCCAGTAGTACGCAGAGGACCAGAGAGAATGAAAGTGAGGGAAAAGACAGGTTATATGGAGGCAAGGACATAACATGAACGGGATACAAAAAAATAAGAAATGTCGATTAACATCTGTCTATATTTCTGAGATGAGGTATTATGATTACTTACATTATTTACATTATTCGGACTGTTATCCACATCTTCATTGCCGTATTCACAATGTTTCGGCCTATATATCTCTGAGATGAGTTATTATGATTACTTACATTATTGACAATATTCGGACTGTTATCCTCATCTTCATTGCCATATTTACAACATTTCGGCCGTTGTACGCATGACATGTGGAACTAGAACAATCTACCCCAGAAGACGAAATAAAAATTCGGTTCGAAATTCCAATCACCTGAAGAAGGTGGGAGTGTACAATGACCGAAACGTTGTGAATAAGTCCATGAAGATGAGGATAGCAGTTTCAATAATGAAAATAATGTAAGTAATGTCGATTAACTTTGGCTTTAAATTTTGAAGGTTGTTATTATAAGGGAAGCGATTAAAGTGGGCGTGAGAAAAGTAACTGTTGGAGTAGAAATGGCGGTTGCAATTTAACTATTCCAACAGTAAAAGGGTGGGACCTAAATGCCAATCTAGTAGCACGCTTAAATAAATTTAGTTTGGACACCAGGGAAAAATACTCATCAGAGCAGTAGTCATGAAAATATTTGTAGAAAAGACAGGGATAAGACACACCGAGTCCTGTGAGATTAATAGTCACGATCGATTATATTGCAGATCCTTCTTTGGATTATGTCAAGAACCTCGAGATGAATAGCAGGAGCACAAGTTCAGATATGGCAGCAATATTCAATGCACGGACGAATGGTAGATTTGTAAATGTGCATGATGGATTCTGACGAGAAAAAAATCTTCTGGCACGGCACAGTGACCCAACTTTCCTTGCAATAGATGCAGCTATTGATTCGATGTAGTCGTTCCACTTCAAATCAGTCGGTAATGTGAGGCCAAGTGTGTTGCTCTCCAGGAGTTTAGCGTCAGCCCTGCTTATGGCAGGCAGAAAAGTTTCTTTATGGTTGTTAAATGAGACCGTTTAGTTTTGGTGGCATGAACATTTACAAGTCATTTCCTGCCCCAGTTAACCACTGATTGCGTGTCCTTTTCAAGAGCAACGGCCAGATTAACTTTGTCACCTCTGATAGATTTACTCTTGGTGAGGGAATAAATAGTAGTGGCATCTGTATAAATGCATACTTGAGAACTGATGACAACAGGAAGATTATTGATGAAGATCAGAAACAGCTTACAGACTTTACGTTACTTGTTGTGAACTGAATTTTAAAAAATTTAAAATACTGTAAATGATATCAAAATTTTAAAAATACTTATCTTCTAAGTTAAAAGAATCGATTCGTGATTACGTTCTCTACTCCCTATTTTAGATTTGATAGAATAATGAATATGGTTAAAAACTAAATTAGTTATTTTTTCTCCAAAACTTCGAGGTTTGATCGATAAATAAAGTGTCCACTCCTATAAAACAATTTTTCCATCTAACAGCATGCGTAAACTGTATTAGTGAATTATTTATATTTACAATTACCTGCATATTTTTTTTATCATACTGCCCTCTTATTTATATACACTTTTCCAAAATTCTAATAATGGTAAAAAAAAATATTTTCTTCCAGTTGGGATTACATCTCTGCTACAGATATTGCAATTGCTTGTGTGGGCAGTCGTGTAGACTACCGCACTCGATTAATATTAACTGCTGTGGAGTGCGACTATATATATATATATATATATATATATATATATATATATATATATATATATATATATATATACCTAATATATGCAAATAGTATCGCTGTCGGAATATGCAGCACCCCCATATATATATATATATATATATATATATATATATATATATATATATATATATATATATATATATATATATATATATATATATATATAATATATATATATATATATATATATATATATATATATATATATATTTATATGATAGATGTGAGTTTGTGACCCTGGGTTTCACGCTTTAGCGATCGTCAGACAAACTCTTTCTTTCTTATTGAGCGCTTTCTAATAAGTACCGCGTATATAATATATAAATAATTATACATATATATATATTTATTTATATTTATATTTTCACTATATATATATATATATATATATATATATATATATATATATATATATATATATATATATATATATATATGCAGTAAAGATGGCTCAGTCGTAGAAGCTCTGACTGAATCGGTTGGGTTTTGATCCGGGCTTGACGCATTCGGTTGTCTAGTCGTAGTGAGGGGCTGTAATACAAAAAAAACAGTACTGTCTGTGAATTGATTAATATATTATTATTATTATTATTATTATTATTATTATTATTATTATTATTTTTCTGTTATGGACACACTACCACTAAGTCTGCGGAAAGACCTAAGGCAGGTCGTGGTGTGTTGTTATGGCCACATTTCATGTTAATTTTTTTTTTTTTTTTTTTTTTTTTTATCTCCGATGAAGTTGCTAGCGTTACATAGACAAAGTTCTCCTTAGTGTGTGTGCTGTACTTAATAAGACAATTTTCTGTATGTCTCTTAAGCTGGGGTTTCCAGGGATTCTTTCAATGTGTTGTTTTGTTCCATTTTTTATAATTCCAAGTGCACCTATTACCACTGGTATTATTCTTGTTTTCAATTTCCACATTTTTTCTATTTCAATTTCCAGGTCCTATTATTATTATTATTGTTGTTATTATTATTATTATTATTATTATTGTTATTATCATTATTATTATTATTATTATTATTATTATTATTATTGTTATTATCATTATTATTATTATTATTAGTAGTAGTAGTAGTAGTATTATTTATATATATGTTAATTATGGGAAATTTGTAGTTTAAACGCAATAATTCGAGCTTGCTAACTTGACGCTTCCTCTGTAACTAAATAGTGTAGCAGGTCGGGCTATATGACGTTTTCGAATAGGATAAAGGTTCGATTCCTGTCGGGGGACACATATTTTCTAAGAAAATTCGGTAAATGTTATTAATACTGTTTATTATAAACAGACCATTTATTTAAATATTTGTATCTATAAAAAATAACGTATAAACGATAAATATACTAAAATAATATTATATTATTTCATTATATATATATATATATATATATATATATATATATATATATATATATATATATATATATATATATAAAGAAGATTATAGTAGTTCGAACGAGAAAAGTGTTTATATTAAAAAGAAGAGATATACCGCAAATATTTTTGGTTGTAATGTGGATTTTTTTAAAAACATTATGCTTTATTTTCGATAATTTTACAGGTCATCAGGTAAAAGGCGGAGATTTCCACATATTATTAAAAATAATTAATTTTGTTTCTCCTTTATGTTTTTCGATGTTAAATATTCCCGATATGAGACATCTCTTTTTTTGTGTGTTAGTAATCCGAATGTCTGTCTTGAACTGGGAATGAAGAGTTCTACGCGAAGGGTCATAAAACAATTAAGATTTGTCCGAGAGGAATGATGAATTAGTTATCGGTATCTTATCTTTTAATGTTTTAATGACCCCTGTGTGTTCTTAGCTCCATTTCCATTTTCGTGCGTTTCTGTCAACATATATGTGTATACTCCCTCTCCATACATACACACTGTCTCACTACGAGAAATTGGTAAACACATTTGTACACATACACACACACACCGTCCCAATACAAGGAATCAGTACATATAAACACATACATTCACACATACGTACACACACATACTTCCCAAGTTGCATGCAACCAGTATACACACACATACACACATATATACGTACATACATACACACGTACTTCCTAAGTTGTGTGGGGTTTGTGTGCATGCCCGTGAGTATATATATATATATATATATATATATATATATATATATATATATATATATATATCCGTGCTCCACAGATACCCGCATGTGAGCGTGCGTGCTTGTATGTGAGTGGTTTGGTCACTGTATTTGGCCATTATGTGTGCATGTTGTGTGCTTTTGCATGTGGGGTTATGATCTATTTAGTTCTGGTTTAAATTTGTTTATGAAGTTTTTTTCTTGTATTTGTAGGTAAGAATAATTGTCTGTTTGAAATATTGGCTTAATATTAAATTTAACCTGGTTACATTTAAAGATGTGTTCTGATGCAAAAAGTCTTCTGTTAATTTTATGTTGCTTTTATGTAGGTAGACCCTGTTGTTCGGTTGTTGGCTGATACCTA